CGATAGTATGGGTATGATATTAAGCCATGATTGTAAACTTCTGAGGGAGGCCAAAAGTGATTATTCGTCTCTTGTGTGGAATATTTTTCTTCTGCCCTCACTGTCCACAGATGGTGCTTAGAGTGAGTAAAAGAGTCATTGCATGAACACTGGAAGTCTCTGTGTACACTAGCAAAATTTCCACTATCCCATGGCTGCGAAGAATGTCACTTGGAGATGAAGAGAAACAAAGAGGAGGAAAATTGCCTCATTTGCATACTCGCAGCAGTGTGATGAGTGGAAATTCTCCTCAATTGCATGTTGCCTAATAGAAGGTTTCCATTAGTTTGTAACTACTCCTTTCATGCCCCAGTTCATTCCAAATCACTGGCTCAGATTCTGAGGGATTTAATCAAAATGATAAACAGCATTTGTATAGCGCATACCCCACACTCAACAGAAAGCTATGCTTTTGCAATCTATGGTATTACCGCTGTAGACCCTAAAATATTCAGAAACATTTTGGGCTTCCTTGAAAACATACAGTGCAACCAGACGACTAAGCGCTCATTCACTAACAAACTGAAAATAGATCTTTCGCGGTCCATAGCCACTTACCCATTCACACCTGGGTGAAGTGAAGAAAATTCATGTAAAGAGTATTTCTCAAAGACACAACATAGGGCCTCTGGGGTTTCGCACCCACAGCCATTCGGACGCGAGCCCAGCAACCGAATTACTAAACCACTGTCGCTGCAAAATAAAACACACAAAATACAAAACAAACAAACAGATAAACAAATAAACAAAACTTCAACAAAAAGGACTTCTAGCCCAAAACCCACTTACCTGTGACGATGCCACCCACATGGGCTGCGATGCCGACCTTTGGGTCATCCACACCCCATCTTCTGTACACAGCTAGGGCAATCTGTGCCGCCACTGGAAGAAAGAGATTTTCACAAATTTGAGTTAAAAAATCTAGACAAGCGCAACTTTATATTGAAAGTGAAACAGATCTAGAACAAAACAGGTAGTGACAAACTTTCGGTTTTTTTTACTCCACAGCACAAAATGATTTAATGTAATAAACCAACATTGATCGCATCACTATCTTCTAAGCTTCAGAATCATTTTGTGTTGGAGGAATAATTCTAGACTTCAGTGCAGAAGCCCCCCCCTCTCTCCCCCCCTCTCCTCCCCTCTCTCTCTCTCTCTCTCTCTCTCTCTCTCTCTCTCTCTCTCTCTCTCTCTCTCTCTCTCTCTCTCTCTCTCTCTCTCTCAGTCTCTCTCTCTCTCTCTCTCTCTCTCTCTCTCTCTCTCTCTCTCTCTCTCTCTCTTTCTCTCTCTCTCTCGCTCTCTCTCTCTCGCTCTATCTCTCTCTCTCTATCTCTCTCTGGCCCTCCCTTCCTCCCTCCACCCGCCTGTCCCTCTCTCTCCCTCACTTTCGACAGACAGACAGACAGACAGACAGACAGACAGACAGACAGACAGACAGACAGACAGACAGACAGACAAAGAGAGACATAGACACACAGACAGACAAAGAGAGACATAGACACACAGACTCACAACATAAGTCGCTACCTTAGAATTACAAAATTTAATCTGTCATTTTTGGCCATTTTTAGTTACCAAGACCACGAGGTCAGAAACCAAAAAATGTTCTATCAAAATTGCAAGATTATTCCGAGTCGTAAAGCATTAGAAAAAGCTTGACGACATGTTGTAAAACGCAACATTTTTAACTTCGAATTTCTCAAAACTAGCTAGGCCTACTGAACAGACAGAACTTTGTCATTCTGAGGTCGCGAAGAGTCACCACGCAAAAGTACAAAAGCAGAACTCACCGAGGATCAGGATGATGATAATTCTGAGTGTGACGCTACACAGGATCCGTTTCGCACCCGACTCTTTCTTGTTGTTATTCAGGTTCTTCCAGTTCTGAAAGGAATGACAATCACAATTTCTTGAAAGGAATGACAATCACAATTTCTTGAAAGGAATGACAATCACAATTTCTTGAAAGGAATGACAATCACAATTTCTTGAAAGGAATGACAATCACAATTTCTTGAAAGGAATGACAATCACAATTTCTTGAAAGGAATGACAATCACAATTTCTTGAAAGGAATGACAATCACAATTTCTTGAAAGGAATGACAATCACAATTTCTTGAAAGGAATGACAATCACAATTTCTTGAAAGGAATGACAATCACAATTTCTTGAAAGGAATGACAATCACAATTTCTTGAAAGGAATGACATTTCTAAAGCATGGTTAGCACAACCCTAGTTGTCTTTGTCGGGATAGTTGTCATCATCGTCATTATCATCATAAATTGTTTGAAAAGCAGAGTAGGTAGGGAGAGCCTTGGCAAATTTTCGGACAGATAGGACATATTATATATTTATATATATATAGTAATAATAGTAATAT